GATTCATTGACATGCTTTTCCTAATATACATTGGTCCAATGTGTGCTTAAGAATTTGTTGGTTGATTGTTAGTAATATTACCATGTTTTATATGATAATCCATTAAGTTCATGTTTGTGAAACTTTCATGACTCATGCAGTAAAAACTGGAAAGGGTAATAAAAATTTAAAGCGTTGTTCGTCTTCTGATATTCATGCATCATATAATGTGTGTTGTTCATTAACAATGCACTTCATAGTTTAATTGTTATTGCATAATTTTAATGATCCATCAACCCTTTCACTAAAAACCAAGAGATATCATATGTTGCATAAATGCAAGATTTTACTGTCAACATCTTGTATATTAAATTTTGGGTTTACAAATGTGAATAATCATCATTGCCAATTACGTCTAATTAAATGATTCATGCTAATTTTTATTTTTGGGAGGCCTTATTTGTTTACATAAATATTTTGTAACCTAGTCTTAAGTTTTGATAGCACATTCCTATCTTAACTTTAATAAGTACATTATTGATCAAAATTGCAATTGAACTACACTTTTAAAATAAATTGTTTCATCAATCTCTTTATTTTTATCAAATTAAGGTTGAAAAACTCAATATGTAAATATAAAAATATTTTTGGTGTTGTTTCACATCCATTGAATGTAAAAAAGAGTGGTTAGTCAAGTGTCATATAAAAATTTAAATTATTTATGACATATTAATATTGGTTTGATGTGTCCTTTATAATATATTATATTTGATCATCATTAACTTATTGCATTATTCGAGCATCATTCTTCATAAATTAACATATTCCAAGTGTTTGTAAGTGAGATGACTATCATCTATTAACACTTTGAGCTTATCTTAAACATAGCAGCCTATTGCTTGACTTTTATTAGGTATATCACTATAAGCAGTTGGATGATGGCATTCATTGTTTACGTATTATGATTAATTATTGGTTATCTATCCGAAGAGGGGGATTACATATCACCATCGAAAGACAAATCTTTCATAAGTTTTTTAAATGGGTAAAACTCAAGCATAGAAATGCATGACACATATGCTGCCTGGATAATTGATAGAGAGACCTATTTTGATTTGACTGAAATTGAGCTACAAATATATACTTAAGTGCGCGTATTTTCATAATAAATTGCTTCCTTCAAGCACATAATTTTGAATATGATGTGTATCTATAATATTAATATCTATTTGAAGATTTAATGATAAAAATATTAATGTGGGAGTATTGTATCTCATGCTTCTATATGAAGTTGAACTAACCAAAATAACCCAATAGAGTCAATATGAATAGATATTTACATTTTCGCAGGTACAATCACGCAGACATTTAGAAAGACCGACATTATTCATGCCATATCCAAGGAAGCTTAAGGGGAAGACTGTGTGACTTGTACACCTTTAATTATTTCAATTTTAGTTAATTATGGTAGGATATTTTGTTTACATAAACTAACATTATTATGTTGGTGAAAGAAATAAAAACAATGTTAAGTGTCATGCAATAATGTGCATGTATTGAAAGATGATACTGATAACTTAATCAGAGCCATATTATTAACATATAGAGCACATCATAATAATTGATATAATTTTAGCATATGTGACAAGTGATTCATGGTCTTGGTTTAGGGCCTGACTTCTCTACATTTCTATCAACTTCTCAAAGTTTAATGTTAAACATAATATATAGCTCCAATTCACAATAAATATGAAAAATTTGTTACTAGATTACTTAAGGTCAACAAACTTTTATCCATTTTCTGGGTCATGAGCAAAAATAGCAGAATAACAAGAAGGTTTAAAAACTTTAAATATTTATCAACAAACAAATTCTCCACTAAACCGTTTCTTTCATAAATTACTCCTATTCATTCTATAGTTTTTTTTTTTTTTATTGTTCCCATTTGCCATCCTCCTTTTGTTCTTTCTATTTATGCAACTCATTTGCATGATTAACCTTTCCTTTTTATCTTGCCATCTTAATTAACCTCATAGCACATTTCTTACACTTATCATCCCACTCTTTATGGTTCTCTCAAAATCACACTTTCTTTAACTTCATCAACATTTACACTTAGTTTCAATAATACGTTTGTTCCATTAGCCAGACTTAGTTTCTTACCCTTTTATTTTTTGCAGTGTTACACGACATAGAGAAGATGAAAAACGACAGAGATCACTGCCACAAGAATATTGCTACGCATGTTCAATAAGATGACATTCTATAATGATATACTTATCAAATTAACCATCAAATTATATCCATTCAGAAGAAATGGTGATAATGTTGTTATAAAATGTTATTTTTTAGCTTATATCCAACATAATGATATGATGTAGGGTTTTTGTAATGATATGGTATGTGATTCTAATGATATTTAATGTGTAACAATTAAAAAAATTGTTGTATTGTCAATTATGATATTGTTAGGACTGTGATGATAAAGCCCAACATGCCCGCAATACTAGATTCTCTTAACCCGTCACAAAAGGTAGACAACGACTTGGTCATCCAGGGCTAACTAGATTATTTATCCAACCATCTTCCTTACTTCGAAGATTCATACTAACTTACCATACTATTTGTTGGACTCGACTTCAATTTTCATTAAATTCATTGGAGTTTATTGAGAACAAATAAAAATTAAAGACTAAAATCAAGATTTGAGATGTTCTTTTAAGAAATAAATATTACTGCAAATAAAAATGCCAGTAACTCTGATTTCAAGCCTCTCACCCTCAGTGGGGACACTAAATCACTAATATATGACATAGTGCTTGAAATGTGTAAGCTTATAGGTTTGAAATAAATAAATAAATAAAAAAAAAGGTTAGGGCACCAAAGAAGGAAAATATATATATATATCTCTCTCTCTCTATTGGCCCATTAGGGATTCCTGAGTTTCAAGATTTTAGAAGAAGATAAAAAAATGGAGAGAGAGAGAGAGAGAGAGAGAGAGAGAGAGAGAGAGAGAGCCACAAAGCCCCCCTTTACTCTTTTTTCCTCAACTTCTATACATCAGAGAAAAACACAATAAAATAATCGACGTAGTATATTCTATATTGTTTGATACAATTCTCTGATGCTTTGACGAAAAGATTGTGATGTGGGTGTTAGGTGTTGCCGGCACGACACTTTTCCCTTGTACCTGACAAAAAAAATTGAGTGTGTGGCGACGCCTTTAATAATGAATTAATATATATTCTTATTAGCCATAATAGTCTCATCATATAGCTGTCTTCACAAGCAGGATATGTTTTTTTTTCTTGGAAAGAATATCACAATTGGATATGCAGGGGGGCTTTGGTTCAGCCACTTTGGCAGGCAGACTTCGACTCAACCACTTTGATGTGTGGATTGGGTTCTGCACAAAAAAAATAAAAAAGAAGTAATTTTTCAGTACACCAATTTAACCATGCATTTCTATGTTCAAGCGCACGTGTGTGCATGCACACACACACAAACACACACACACAGATATACATATAAGAGTCCTATGACCACACACACAAACACACACACACACACACACACACACACACACACACACACACACACACACACACACACACACACACACATACATATAAGAGTCCTATGACCATCACTCCCAAGTCCTATGACCTGTGAAAGAAGATCCTTACCAACAATCTATATCCCAATATTTTTTATAGTTATCTTGTTCTCCTGTTGTTCGATTATGAGAGATGCCAACAACTATTGATGCCTAGCTTTTCTCCCTAACATCATTATTTCTTAGGCTGGTTTCGCAAGCTGACGTTGCTAAATTAGATGAACATCACACGAAAACCTCATCCATTGGTCAACATCTTGTCATTCATTTTATTAATTCAAGCCACAAGGCTTAAATAAACGAGTTCATTTATTTATTATTATACGGAGAACACTATTAAAAAGTGATATTTTCAGATACCATATACAATACATATTTGGTATAAAAAATATTATTATTTTAATTAATCCCTTTGTTTTGCATCATAAAAGCAAGACAATTAAATACCATTTAACTTGACTACTTTTTAAATTTAAAGTAGTTTTTCGTTGGGGCATTTATATACATACCACCCAATTCCTATGTATTTGTGTGTCTAACCTTTAAACTTTGCTTTTTTACATCATAAATTATGATTAAATGTAAGATATGTAAATACATAAGAATTGATTGGTATGTATGTAAATCCTTATTGATTTATTTTTTTTTAAGGATATTTGAACGACATTCCATATGTTAGGCCTTGCACCTGAGACCATTTAGTTGAAGAACAAATATTACGTCCGGACTCTGAACGTAGAGATATGTTCGTAGTCCAATGAAATCACGCCACGTGCTGGAAACAAAAAAAATATTAAGAAAATCGTTTTAACATACGGGAATATTCCTCTTATATTATTCTGCATCATTCAAGTGTTATTGTGAAGATATTTATGCATTATTGTGTTTTGGGAATATTCTCCATGCTATAATAACACAATAACACATCAATACAACCACAATAACACCTGAATAAAGTGAAATAGCACCGGAGGAATATTCCTTGTGTTATCGGGTCAGATTACAAGAAAAAAAAGTTTTTTTTTTCTTGTCAGCTCTACATGGAGGTGATTCATTGGACTCTAAATGTATCTCAACATCCGGAGTCCGAAGATAATAATTTTTCTTAGTTGAAACCCTATACTCTCAACAAACATACTAAGCTGTTTTGTATAATTTGAAGTACTTCTAAGACTATTATCATTGAAAAAAAAATAATCTTCAAACTATTTATTATTTACCTCAATAAATAAATAAATAAATGCATGAAAATATATATGCATATAAGACGGGACTTCATATAAATCCACTCATTCAGGAGATTCCATGGTTATATCAATCAAATATTTTTTAAGTATTAGTATTATTATTATAATTAAAACCTGTTTATTAACTGACAAAAAAATCAACAGTATTATGGAGGCCTTTTAGTCAAGGGAGAAGAAACGAGAGCAGCCAGTGAACCAACAGCGGCCATTTGCAGAATCTTCGTTAAAAAGGTCTCTTTTCGAAACTATTCAGGCGATGCCAAGTGTCAAAGTATCTTCGTCTCCAGCTAGGGCGCTTCTCTCTCTCAGATCTCGCCGTTGTTTATCGAAGTCGCGAGAAATCGCTCTTTCGTCAAGGCTCTCTGCTGGGGATTCAGGATCGATTGAACTGGAGTAGAAGGAGATTTCGGGACGGTGATCAGCCGTCTCGAGTCGATCTCCTCGGATAACGTTCCAGTGTAAAGAATCTTCGTACTTCCTTCTTGTTTTTATGTGCTTGATTTATTGAATTCATGTTGCTTGATTCTTTCCCAGATGCGATTCTGGCATCTGGGTGTCGCGATTTGTCGTGTTCAGGTTTTTGCATGGAAGTTGGATTTGAAAACAAATTGTTCAATTGGATTTTGATGGAAACTTTGCAATTTATAGTCTTAATCTGTCTTGCTTGTTTTGGCCTGTTTTTGTTTCAAGAGTTACCCTCTTGGAGATTTTCTCCGACTTTTGTAGCGATTAGTTGAATGTTTAAGATCATATTGGATAGAATTTTTGTTGAAATGTACTAATCATATATTAAATATGCGCTTCTCGTTTTCGATTTTGTTCGATGGTGGATTGTTCTTCTTTGCCGAAATCCTTGGCAGCATTGAAGGCTCCGTGGCTTCTCGTAGGAGAGGAATAGGTGAAGATCGAGCCTGCTGGATTTTAGTATATAAATTTATGGTATTTTGATTTTGGTAGATTCGTTGAATCTTGTGGACTTTTTACTTGTAAAGCTAAGCCCGTGACTCACACCCTGCTTTGTTGGTTGGCCATTATTCCTTCCACTACAGTAGTTGATTCACTTTTTGCCGCATGTGATCTTTCTGAGGACCAGCTGTTTCATTGATGGCGTTTGGTTCTATCATTGATCTGATTCATTCTAAATACTTGTATACAGCCTTCCCTGGGTTTTATGTCTTAGTAATAAAATTGGTATTATTCTCTGTATTTGTTACCTATTTGCTTCTCTATTTTGTATATCTGTAGAAAACCTTCAGAAGCGGTGTATCCATCTTCCTAAATCACTTATTGTTTATATCAAAATTTTCTTTTGTATTGTGCTCAAATCTGCTCCCCTTTCTTTGTTTCATATGATTTCTTCTGATAATCCCACTTTAAAATTATCACATGCTAATTAATTTTTTTTTCTTTGGTTTATTGTATTTCAAGTTAAGTTACTTCAAGGAGTTTAAGGAATATGGGTTGCTTTATATCTACCCCGAAAGATGCAGTTGGGTATAGAAGAAGACCTGGAAAGCTTGGGGAGGTGGCTGTATATGTGCCCGGATTGCGAATTCCCAAAAGTATTGATTTTTATCAGCCTCTTAGTGATAGCATATCAACTGGTTTGATAGAGCAGCTATCAGCTCTGAAAACTCGAGTAGTTGTCATGGCTGCACAGGAAGCACCGATTGAGACAAAACATTTTCGGAAAACTGCTACACAACATGGCATGCTGCCTTCTACAATGAATTTTCTGTTTTAATTCTCTAATTTACGAGAAAGTTTATTATGTTTTTGATAATTGCAGGAGGTTCTACAATAGCTGACCTTTTGCAGGCTCTTGAAGACTATTTGCCAGTCCTACTGGGGTTGGCAATTGATGGTAATTTCATTATTGCACTTATACTACTGGTCATATTGTTTCCAGCCCCTGACAGTTAAATGATCTGTAAATTACAGGAAGTGAGCTCAAATATAAGGTGCAGTTTGTATGGATCAATCAGGAAGATGATGCGGAGGTGGAACAAGCTATCTTTGTTATGATGATTTTATGGGGTTTAAGCTTTTTTTATTTTAATAAAGGAACCATTTTGATCACTGATACTGATTTTTTGCTTGTACAGGAAACAGCCATGTCAGATGTTTCCTATGAGATATTATCCATCCTTCACTTAATGGCTACACTATGCCTTTCTGAGGCCAACCTTTTACTTCTTCCTAAAGCACCTGTTGATGTTTCTCAGGCAAGAACTTCTGAAGGTGTGTACCGTATATTTACTGTTACATTTGTTATGGCAATATTTTGTTGCAGGAAGCTAAATATATCTTACAACCACTCATTTAGCTTGTCGGTTCAATATAAATAAGCTACTTTTATGTAAAGAGAAATGAGTAAAGTGCCAAAATAGTCCCATGACTGTTTACGTGGAGCCATTTTAGTCTCTGAGTCTATAAACGTGGCAATTAATTTCCAAAATCTTTAAATTGGGGCTAAAAATAGTACTCCATGGAGATTTTTTCAACCCATATGAAAGAGTACGGGAACTAAATTGGTACTTTATAGACTATGAGACTAAAATGACGACCCCCCGCCAAATGACTATTTTGTAAAAGTTTTAATATTTCTCTGACACTTTGGCACCACCAGCATTTTCTGATTCGTTGTTCTCACATCATAGAGAGTAGACGTGCAGCAATTGAAATTCTGTTGAGGGCTGCTGGTTATTTGGAATTTGCTGCCCAGCATGTGCTTGCACAGATCCCTCTCGAAAAAAGGTTAGAGATATCATCACTAGCTAGTTCTATAGTTTTAAATTATTTGAATTTATTTATTTGTGAAGAATTCATTTAGTATGAAGTGTGGGATGGCATATGTTTTGCCATTGTTTTAATTTATGTTTCAATTTTGTAAATTCCGTAACTTTTTTGCTACTGCCATATAACATAGGAGGGATCTGCCTATAGACCTAGCAGAAGGAAAGCTGCGAGCTCTCTGCATGCAAGCATTGGCTCAGGTAAATGTCATTCGTCAGCTGTTTAAAGTTCACCTATAAATTACATCGCGTCTGCAATCTGCCAAAACTCTCTTGTTTTTGTTTAATAATGAATTAAATCATTTGCTAATGGTTGTTTTTGTTAGCATTAGATGGAAATAATCTCATTTATCAAAAAAATAAATTCTTGACCAATTTTGATGCTGAAAAATATTAACTTTGATATCTAACGACGAGGTAAGTGAAAATGGATTATGTTGCATTTCTCCTATAGATACACGTTGAAGTAAAAATAAAGATTAGTGTTTATCTTTAGGTCTTTATGAGGGCGTTCTTTAGGAGGAGGACATGTATGCACTCGGAAAGAAGGCAATTGCAATACTATGCAGATATTCAAATAAAAAAATTTACATGAGAAACATAGATAGAGTGGTCATTCATAGTTTGAACCAGAATACACAAGAAACAGGATTCTGTCACTGATTGGAAATTAATTTCATATTTGTTTAAAAAATTGGTCATGAAATATATCTTCCTCCCATGATAGATCTAAACATTGTAGGGTACCTTTAGTCATCATGATATGTGAAATCATTAAGCAACGATGGAAACTAAAGGGACATGGCTCATTTAGTGGCATGCTTTGCAAGTTGTGAAATATGTATCATAGATAATTAAATGTAGCTTGATACCTAATTTTTAGTCTCTTGATTGCAACCTTTTTGTTTCTTAAGTTGGGATGAAATTTCAATTCAGTTTTGAAAGAGAATAGAACCAAAATAATTTCCCACCCATTTGTGTGGTGCCATTTTAGTCCCGAACTTTATAATTCCTTGGACTCTTAAAATATGAGCTAAAATAGCCTTGCCATTAAAATTAAGGGAAATAAAGTAAAAGTTGATTGATGGTATTAACATTGAGGATATTTTAGGAATTTCCATTTTGAATATTTCATAAAATTATTTGGGATATGATTGATTTGGAATATTTTCATTATCTCATACATTATTTTAGATACATTGTGATGAAATTAATATATATTAAATATATAAATTTTAATAATTATTATTGATAAGTTTCCTACAAAAAAAGTTTTTTATTAGGTTTGCATAAAATTTAAAATGTAATATTTTAAAACTACCCTTATTTTAACACCACTCTTTAACTACAACTTCAATTTCCATTACTCTTAATGGCGGGTTCATTTTGACTCATATTTTAAATGTTTAAGAGATTAAACTTGACCTTTTTATAGTTTGAGATTAAAATGGCCCCATCCTCACAAATATTCAGATGACTATTTTGGTTATTATCTCATTTTTTATAGCATGGCACTCAATTTTAGCTGGATGCTACAACAGGACAGGAAATTGGGCCTGGAATTTTTTGTTGCTTCACAGCCCAAAATAAAGCTTTCAAATTATCTTTTATTCATGATTTTAGTTCTAAATTACTTTGAAATGGAGGATATTAATTGTGAAGCGACTTGTGAATTAGTCATATTATTCAAACATTCTATAACCTGTTTAATTTCTTTTGATGATTAGAAATTTGTAAACCAGTTCAGAATGTTATTCTTAAAATATCTCAGCACTTCATTGTAGTTACTTGAAAAGCTAACATTAGAGTTAAACTATTGGAATACATTCAAGATTGATTTTAGTACGAGCTTCAGGTTTATGCTTGCTTTGTTTGCTTGCATGAAAATAACAATGGACTCCAGCTATCAGTTAAGATAAGGAACTCGTTAATTTTAGTTTCTGATGTATTTGGTTCCTTAGTCAAGACCCTTGGGTATTATGGCTACCTCTCAAGTTATATAGGTGCAAAAAGTCATTGGTTAAGATTACTATTTGTGCAATCATCTAACTTCTTTAAATAACATTTCATATTTCTTATACAAGAAATTATTCAAATCGAAAAAGAATTAATTTGCATGCCTAACTTTATAATTGGAGTATGGTCATTGACCTAGATTTTAGAAGAAATAATTGCTAAAATATCTAATATGCATTCATAACATGAGCTTAAATAGGGTATTACAATGTTTTATAAATAAACCCATAAACTTCTTTAATACTCTTTTTACCAAAAAACCCTAAATAAGGTCCAATTCTCAACAGTCCCCCTCAAGATGGGCAAAAGATATCCACTAAGCCCATCTTGTCACATAACCTAGACAAATCTAATGAACCAAGTCTTTTAGTGAGGCAGTTAGCCACTTGTTCTTCAGTGGTACATGACTTGGCTCCGTAGCCCGTTAATCAGCTTTTCCTTGATGAAGAATTTATCAATATCCACATGCTTGGTTTTATCGTGTTGCACCTAGTTTTTGGCAATGCTGATTGTTGACTTGTTGCCGCACCACAACTTCATTTGTGTTCTTTGGTTCACCTTGAGCTCGACCAACAAGGCTCTCAGCCAAATCATCTCGGTAACTTCTAAGGCCATGGCCTTGTACCGTGCCTCTATTGTTGACCTCGCTACTACACACTATTTCTTGCTCTTCCAAGAGATCAAGTTGTCCCCTACGAACATGTAGTATTCTGAGGTGAATCTTTTGTCATCTGCATAACTTTCCCAGCCAACATCACAAAACCCTTCATTTGTCATGCCCATTCTTCCTGAAGTTCAACCTCTTCTCTAGTGCATTTTTCAGGTACCTCAGAATCTGATACACTACATCCATATGACCCTTCTTTGGATCATGCATGTATTAACTCACCACACTCATTGCAAAAGAGATGCCGGGTCGAGTGTGACACAAATAGATTAGACGATTAACCAATCTGGTACCTATCAAGATCAACCGATTCCGTTGCCTATGCATTAAACTTGGCCTTCTAGTCGATTGAAGAGACTGTAAGTTTGCACCCTAGCATGTTTGTTACTGTGAGGAGATCTAATACTTTCTTTGGGATAAAACCATCCTCTCAAGTCCACGAGCCACTTTAATTCCAAGAAAGTATTCGAACTATCCAAGATCATTCACCCCATATTCATTGCCAATCCTACCTTCAGTTGGACAATCTTTACCACACATTCATTAGTGACAATGGTGTCATCAACATACACAACAAGTATAGTGGTGTGACCTTGTTGTTGTCGAAAGAACAACGTATGGTCTACATTGCTCTGCTGATATCACATGCCCATTATAGTCTTTCTATACTTGTCAAACTAGGCTTGAGGAGACTGCTTCAAGCCATGCAGTGACTTTCTGAGCATACACACCTTACCCACTGTCTAGACTATACTGAATCCTAATGGTATTTTCATATATACTTCCTTTAGTAACTCACCATGAAAAAATGCATTCTTCACATTGAGTTGTTGTAACCTCCACCCACCATTCATTGTAAGATAAACTAGTGTCCTCACTATGCTCATCTTACTACTGATGCAAAAATTTCATCAAAATCAATGCCATATATCTGACTGTAACCTTTCGCCACCAGTAATGTCTTCCACCGCTCCACCTTTCATTCTGGAGTTTACTTTACTGTGAAGATCTATTTACACCCAACTGTTTTTTCCCCGCTAATTGTGGCACTATCTCACATGTTCGAATTTTGTCGAGAGCCCTAAGTTCTTAATGCATAGCTACTTTCCATTTGAGATCCTTCTTAGCAACCTGCCAACACTTGGGTATAGAAACAATTTCCAAAGAAGCAATTAATGCTCAATATAAATGTGATATGTTTGAATATAAAATAAAGTTAACAATGTCATGCTCATACCCAAAACGATTGGGAGGTTGTCCCGCATGGCGAAGAGAGATCCTCCTCAAAGCTTGGGGGGGGGGGGGGGGGGGGGGGGGGGGATTTAGGAGAAGGAAGAATAATATCACCTGCGAGTTTTGAGTTGGAGGCAAATTGTGTAGGTTTCTCGAGAGTCAAGGAATACTTGGACAAGGAACTAGCCGACACAGGTGGCATTGTAGACATCGTTCCCTCATTTTGCTTCCTTCTATGTGTATACACCCTTAGCTCACCTTTAGCCTGAATTCCACCACCTCCGGGTTCACTCTCATTTCCCTGTTCCTTAACAGATTCCTCATACATCATAGGACAAGACATTGCTCTCATGTGTACCACTTTCTCACTATTGCTACTCACCTAGGCTTGCCTCATATCTCCACCATCTGGCGATTCACCGAAGGGTGAGGCCACCTCCTGGGTGCAGTACGGTTTAAATTCTCTAAATGACACATCCATGCTCACAAACAATTTCTTCTCTATAAGGCTCTTGCAGACACATCTTCTGGATAGCAGAATAACCTATGAACACATATTTCACAACTCTACGATCCAGCTTCCCTACTGATGATCTGTTTTCCTTCACAAAATATAGACATCCAAATACCTTTAATCGGAGGATTCCATTTTTATCTCTTTGAACATCTGACAATGAGACTTCCAATCCAACACTTTCGATGAAATTATATTGATCAATTGAGAAGTTGTCAAAATTATTTGCCCCTATAAGTGCTTTGGGACATTTATTGTGATTGTCATGCTTATGGTAACCTCTAGAGGCGTTTATTCTTCATCTTTGCTATATCACTTGTGTCGGTGTATGTGAACTTGGTTTGATGCTGTATGCCTAGGGCTGACAAGTATTTTCAAATGTTTTGTTGGTATACACTGTCCCATTATTAGAGCTTAATACTTTTAATACTGCATCATATTGTGTTTGGATTGTCTTATGGAAGTTTTTAAAGCAAGCAAACACATCACGTTTATTTTTCATCAAATATGATCAAGTAACTTGAGAAAATAATCAATAAATGTCACAAACTATCGATAACTATTCATAGAACTTGTAGAGAAAGATTTCTAAACATCAAAATGGATCAAGTCAAAACACAAGAACTATTCCTAGAATTGATATAAGAGCTCCTAGTAAGCTTGCCAAACTCACAAGGATCACAAACAAGCTTTTGCTTATTTGCCTTTTCATATAAAGAATGATACAACCGTCTCAATAAATTAAAATAAGGGTGTCTCATGCGTGTGTGATGTAGCAACAACACATTCTCTAGACTCTTCCCAGACCGTAAATTTCAGGGCTGAGTCCATCCCCACTTGATCCAAGTACCAGAGTTTACTATGCCACATTCCAGATTCAAGTGTCTGGCCTGTCCCTCTTTTTTGGAAGATCACCTTAGAGATATCAAAATAAACAACACATTTTAGTTGAAAAATAACGACATTAATGGCTGAAAGGTTTACAAGAAAAGAAGAAGCATGCAAACATTAGAGAAAATCATATAATTAGTACCCCTCACTGTACCTTTACAAACTACATACTGCACTGTACCATCAACAGTCAGGATGCTCTCTAGTACTGCTAGGGGAGTATAAAAAAAGTACTCTCTAATAGTACTTATCATATGTCAAGATGCACCATAATCTACTCTATTATGATGGTCCTGTTTGGAAATAGAGACGAGAATGTGTATTGCAAATATCTTTGTCAGAATGAACACAAGTGACACGACTGGGTTGAACCATCCTCAACCCCGTCTCTTGCTGCTTTCTGCTTCATCTTTAACAAGTTCAAACACTCATGATTCTTATTGGTAAAAACAACACATATCCTTCCCTGCTCTGCTACCATTAGATTTGCTCAATAGGCCCCTTTTTCCACCTTTTTAATCACCACGACCACGGCCTCCACCCTATCCACGTCCACCAGCCTCTCTCTCCTTAGGTGGCCTAGGATAGATCTTGCTACTTCACCATGATTGTAGCACTTGCGAGTCTCCCCATAGACATCTATCATACTTGAGCTCGAGTCGGCCAATGCTGATCGCGCACCCGAAAGTTCACTTGACCCAGAATGTAGCTTCATGCGACTCTGCTCCTGTATCATTGCAGCAATGGCCTTATCTAGTGAAGGGATAGTCGCCCGAGTCGATCTTATCTAATCAAAGGTCGGGTTTAGATGAGTCAGAATCTGCATAGTCCTCATATGTATAAAGATCTCTCCTTTCTTGCACTCCAGATCGCCACAACTCGACATCAGTGACAAGTGATCAAGATCTGCCCACAACTGCCCAAATTCTATGACTTATTCTTGAATCGATTTATAACCTTTTACCGTTACTTCTATCTCATGTTGAATCTAGAACACCTTCACGTCGTTCTCTGTCCCAACATTAATTCTCTTCAGCATTGTTCAGATTTCTCTCACCTTTCGAATGCCATTTACTGATGAGGCAATTGATGGAACCATTGAGTTGAGAAGTTATTTGTAAAGTAAGACTTGTGGTCCTCCACTCATCCCCTTCATTAATGTCACCATTTGACTCAGCCTTGACTCCCGTCAGATATTCTTCTAGTGTCTTCTTTACTAGAACAACCTCGATCCGGATGCACCCAACTCAAGATATATGGTTTCCATCAAGCTTCAGATCCATAGGAGAGGGATCTAGCTTCATTTGCATCAGAGCATGTGCTGAGGTAGTGGCTCCCTTCTAGATGCTAGCTCCCTTTATGATTCCGATCAAGATCTTTATGCTAGCTCCCAATCCTTTACCTCTTGCATCATCTTCTTGTCGTTACATGCTCAATCACAAGGATCCAATTCTAGATCGCACGCGATTTCCTCTCTCTTCTTGACCTGATCTTGATCTACTTCACCCTCAAGATTGAGATCCTCATCATCTACAGGTTTGCACCCCAACATGACCTTGGTGACCAAATCCTGCGAGACAGTTGCAATCAAAGCTTGCTTGGAAGGTGACTTGCGATCGCACCTTAGTGACCGAACCTTGCGAGACAGCTGCAATCAAAGCTTGTTGGGAAGGCGACTCTCGATCGCACCTTCATGACCAAACCCTGTGAGACAATCGTGATTGGGAAGGCAACTCGCAATCGCACCTTTGTGTCTGAAACCTATGAGACAGTTGCGATCAGACGGGATGTCGGAGGCAGGAAGACGACGACATGAGGTGGTAGGTTTGTCTCTGATATCAAGAAGAAATAATTGCTCAAAAATCTAATCTGTACATTCATAATATGGGCTTAAATAGGGTATTGCACATTTTACAAATAAACCTCTAGACTTCTTCAATATTCTCTTTTTACCAATAGGACCCTAAATAAGATCAAATTTTCAACAATTTTCGAAAGACAGTTCAAAGCTAAGGTTCTTAGGAATCATTAATTTAATATCTTTATTTTTTTTAATCTGTTGAGGTATATATGAAAACCATCATAAAACTGTAGATGTTGGTATCAAATATTGTTGTATGATAGATAAAAACCTACCATACAGACTCTCATTTTGTAATCTGTAAGATTGAAATATGCTAGTAAAGATTTTGTAATTAATATGATTGTATCCCGAAACTACAGTTCGAGGCCGACGGCCTTCAAAACTAAGATGCAGATTGTCCTTCAACATCATTTAAATTAACGGTGCATTTGATTAAGATTTTATTTGAGGCTATTGGCTATTCTAATTGACTATTCATGATATTGAAGCACAATATGCTGCTGTATTGTATGATGTTGTGTTAACAATAATAAGGATTTTTTCTGAGTTTTCGGTTTAGCTAAATTTAGTTGAATTTAATTTTTATAAGCATATCAACTATTTAGATTCATTAATGTTAAGGTTTTACTTTATATAAGTTTGTAATTGCTTATTTGGGTGTTGCCTTCTTCATTGCTCACTAATGAGGCTTTGTTAGATGTTTTTAAACGGATAATCAAACTCATGTATCTTCCTGCATCCTATTTGTTATTGTGAGGTTTGTATGCGATGCTTCTATACATGTTAGACAAAAGAAATGAACTTTTAAAAGATAGGGCTTTAGAAGTAACAGACTATTTATTTAAGTACATTATATGTTACTATAATGGATTTGAAATCGGTAACATTGCTGTAATTTAGTGAAACCAAGCCTTGATAAGTTCAAGTATTTGGATGTATAAACCAAAGTATGAGGTATTGTTAAGAATTTTTTTTTAGAGTTAAAGCTATGGGTTGATAAAATAGAAGTGTGTCATGGGTATTATTCTAAAAAAAATATTATGGAGTGTTTGAGGTAAATAAGGTAAATAAATAAAGCTATAACACAAAGATTATGTTATATATATATCAAGTGTGTGTGATAATTTTTTTGTTGTTGTCTAAGTTTAGTGTGATGAAAAAGAGATTATGCATGTGGTAAAACTTGAAAAATAGAATGAGAAGTGATTATATTAGTAAAAAAATAAAAGTAGCATTATAGCACCTATTGAAAACGTGATAATACTAATAGGCTTAGGTGATTTAGGCTCATAGAATTAATGATAAATGATTATGAAGAAAAAGGGGCATATCAGAATGTAACATGCCAAAAATTTATGTAGTATTTATAAAGCTGACTTCAATTGTACTTCGTTGTGAGAAGACTAATGATTTTGAGAATGGTGTCTTAACATTTCTTCATAGTCCTCTCTACTGTGTTAACTACAGTACTTTGTGTTTATGAAAAAAAAAGACAGTTACAAGTTTAAAAGGAGTTGATGCATATCAGTAGTTTTTTTTTTAATTGCTTTTCATCTCCTAGTTAATTTTATATTAAAATAATCTATCCTTTCTCTTTATTTCCCTGTTTTCTTTTTTACAAGCTCTGTTTGTCCTCTTATATTTTTTCTGTGTTATGAATGCATTCTTTGATTTCAATAATAATAATAATTTTCTCATATTTATATGTGGATCCGTTGATGCAGTTGGAAATTTCTGACAAAGTCGTTCAGACCTTATTTTAACAGTTTCTCTTTGTTCTGCAGGGAGTTGATCTTCAACTTGGTTTGGCAATTGATAGTCCCAAGGCCACATTAGCAGTGAAAAGAAGGTTAGCTTGTGAGATGGTCAAATGCTGGCAGCAGGTATTTGCCTGGTTCTTCATAATCAAATTCATCTTTTGTTCCCATTTTAGCTTTATTCTGCCTAATTATAAAAAATGAGTTGCCATTCTTCTTGAATTTCAGCCAAGTTTGAGTATAGAACTTATGTTTTGGATAAAGATTATTAGACAAGTAGTAAGTTCTATGTTAGTAGGAACTTGCCGGTGCTGAAAGTCTTTAATTCTAATAATTCTTGAGCTTATGCCATAATTTTTTTTGCAATTATGACTATAATCTAGAGTCTTACTCCTCAGTAGTTGGACCTTCAACTTTTTTCTTATAGTTAGCTGTGGGTTTTTCCTTCTTACGGAAAGAGATCTATTTCTTTCCTCTAAGTATCTAAGTATATTTGATGCATAGATCTAGCATAATTGTTGCATTTCTTATTGAGAAAATTCATGAATCATCACCTATGGATGCATGCCGCTTGCCTGTCCACTTTAAGAGTATCTTAGTATACATTAGTGGATATTGATCCAACCTTAAATGCACCTAAGTTTAATTCTAAAACAAAGAAATATCTCCTGCCAACATAATTACTCTAGTTAACTTCAAGGAGGAAGAAGGGGTTCGAAGGGCTTGATAACTATCCAATCATGGAGGAATCAAGCAATTTTATGCATCGAGATGAAGAAAGAATGAATAGATTGGCATGGAAGAAAATTTTGGCTGAAATTAGCTTATGGAAGTTTTAAGGAATTCTAGGACATTTAATATGAGATTGCATAATCCCTGATACTTTGTTGTATTCGGCATTCTAATGTTTTATTTGATGTTTAGTATCTTATCATGATTAGAAACAATATCTGTTGTAATTGTGAAAGATGTTTCTACTTTTAGGTTGTTAAATATTTTGCTTTATTGTAGGTGTTATTTTAATGGCTAGCTTATGCCTTTAAATAGGAGCTTTATAATGCTACTTTAAGAGTGTATTAGTGTGAACTGTAATCAAAGTGAAGTCGATTTAAATCTCTTACATCTCTCTACAGTCAAGCACTCCTCTCTCTCTCTACATGAAATTTTAAGTGGCTTTTGTTTCTTAAATGTGGCGAGGATCCATAACTGGCATGACACCATAAAGGTGTGTTTCCTCTCTTCATAGGAATCAAGAAATTAAGGGTATTAAACTTGCCCCCACAATTCAATATGAGAAAATAATAAAAAAAATCCTTAAAACTCAAAGTTCCAACTAGTTAAACGGGACTCCTCTAGGAAACTCGCTTCTAATTCACAGACCAACCATTGTCAAAATATCTCCATTATAAATTCTAAATAATGGAACATAAAACCTCATTCAGGTACCATTGTGTATGCTTCAACTCTACTTCTTGTAAAGTATATTTTTGTAAACATTTTCAACTTCAAAACAATGCCTTTTTCACATTTAATGAAAAATTTGAGACCCTTTGATCCTCTCTTGACTTAAATCAAGGTTTCTCTATGTGATGTTTAGATGTCATTGTGAATCTTGAAATTTGTCATGATCATCTCTTTTTTAGCTTAGAAACTTCTCCCTAACATATTCTAAGACAAGCATTATATCATAAAATTATCCAGTAGAGATATGAATTAATAATTATTTATTTTATTGATTTTTTAACTGAATGTTGTAATTTTCATTGTTTAAAACTTTTATTTTGCATTTTTTTTGTTTGCTATGTTTATCTCTAATGATTGAAACATTGATTGCTATTGAATAATTCAAAAATTTTTATGATCATGTTATAATGCTTGTTATGTGCTAGAATATATATAACATTAAAGAGAGTTTATTATTTTACCATTGAGAAAGTATCAAAATGATCCCTCGACTAATTATGAGGGGTCATTTTACTATGTAAAAGGTATATTCAATCTCTTAAACTCTTTAAATATTAACCAAATAGATTTGCCATCTAAGGTAACAAAAATTGAAGTTAATTGTGTTAAAAATACTGATATTTTTGATATATTTTCTTCTTCAATATTTTTAGTAATCTAATTTCCTAATTATTTTTTAAACTATTTTTAGTTATTTTATGTACTTTTGTACAACAACTAATTTTATGTATAACATGAGAGAGAAATTTTGCAATAAATAATTTTGTTTGATATTTTTTATCTTGGTTTAATCAGTTGCTATATACAAGAAATAAAGAAAATAAGAAGGTAGATTTACTAAAGAATTAAGAAGAAAATTTATTTTCTTATAATGCTCATTTCTATCTCTATTAACTTTAATTTTCATTAGTTTAATTGACATGACTATTTGAGACCTTGTTAAAAGATTCTGTTAACTAAATTAGGTTTTTTAGATAGTTCGATACTAAAATCGTAGCTCACAAATAGTTAGAAGATCAATTTTGGTTCTTTTCTATTTTAGCATTGCATGAAAATCCTACATACACACAAATAAGTGGAGCAATTCATATGATCCATAAAAAAATTTTTAATATAGAAATTTAGAAAAGAAAAATACCATGGGCTTCAACTTAGTTAAAATGAGTATACTAATGTGAGTCATAAATTTTAAATGATATGTTTTTTCATAATTGAAGAAGGCTTTAATACAATGTAATAAACAAGAATTGTGAAGGATGATTTTATGATGAATGTTAGATGAGCCTTAGAGCATTCAAGTTTTTTCTAGAATTTGTTGATGGCATGTTTAATCTTTCTTGTTACATGAAGGGAGGACATTGATCAAGAAGATGAACATAAGTTTTAGCATTTACTTCAGGCGTTGGCGCTGGACTCATTATTGGTCATTGGATTTGATGGCGATGACGAATGACGACCTTATTGACAGGGGTGGGTATTGAGGCTTATGTCAATTGCAGGCGTTGATCTTGTTTGTGATGGATGTCATTTACATTGTTGTCGATGACGTGCATCATTCTTGTTTGCAATGACAAGTGTCAAGATTGATTTTGGCCTTAGGCGTTGATTTTACGGTATGCATCATTGATGATGACAATAATCAAGGTCGATGTCGATGACGTGCATCAGTCTTATTGGTGATGGTTTACATCGGTGTTTCTTTCGATATGCATTGACCTTATTTGCAAGATATCATACATTGCCTTTGGTGTTAATTGTGTGCATCGGTTTTATTCATGGTGATATGCATTGACGTTAGTGTCAATGACATGCATTGACTTTGATGATGATGGCATGCGTCAGCATCGATATTGGTGTTGATATCTTTTATCAATCTTGTTGTTGATGACGAGCATTGACCTTCATTAGAAGGTGATGGTGGCCGGAAAACTGTAATCAGACAAAGACTGTCATTGGCGGCGATCATTAGGCAGACCTTTAAGGTTTTTTAAGTTTGTGACCCATGTTCAATCTATAGTCCCCTTAATATCTAAAATGAGAGTTTATTTAATATGCAGGAGTCTATTTATATTTTTTCCATTTTCAATCCCTAAAATCTCCAAACATTCTATCAAATGGCTTGCATTGATCCCCTTGATCATATAAGCTTCTTTAGGGATTTAAGATCATAATTACACCCAATTTGCGCTAGTTTGAGCTTATTGAATTCTTCTTATTTATACACTCATTTTTCCTACAAGCAAGAAATTTCAAAAATCATTTGGTTCCTCAGATGATGCCATGAAATTTTTAACTATACTTTTAAGTATTTGATACCGTATCATTTGTTTTAGAATTAATGTGCTTTTGGTGTCATTGGTTTGACACTTTATAATGTTTTTTTTCAAATATACGTTTGTTGAAAATAGAGTTTGGATGATCCAAAATTTAATTTGAGAAAAAAATGATTAACAATTTGCTATTTTTGGTCAAGATTCATGCTTAGTCAAGTGAATCTTCCAATGCATATTAATACTTTTTTTTCACTATTATTTATTCCCCTATCTAACTCTAGATCCCTTCCTAAGTCCCAAAAAATAAAGTTCTTAATGCAATTGAAAGCTAGATTTCTCACCAGCGCCTCAATACCATTCAAATTGTTTAGCATTTTAGATTCTAAAAAGATTTATACCTTCTCTGTTGTTGTTGCCATATGCTAGTATGTTATCGTAGGAAAAGTGACATGTACTTCACTTGAATGTCTGTTTTGTTGGCCTTAGCTTGAATGCTGTCTTCTCAAGCATTCTGCTTTATATAGTTCTAGTCTCTTACTATCCTCTTTAAGCATTTTGAAAGTTTTGAACAACTTTTGTATTTTATTTTAAGATCGCAACTCTTTCAGAGAAAATCTCTATTGACTGAAATTCTTCATGAGCCCATCTTATCTTCTGACATAACAAATGTTTGGCTTTTGCCTCAGCGGATAATTTCTTCTTTATATCCGTTTGACTTGTTTGTAAGATATGGCTGTGGCCATGCACGATGCCTCACGACATCCAGTACGAAAGTTTTTCTGAATTATTATGTGCCATATTTAGGGCAGTCACTAGTGCAATATATTTGAATCTTGTTATCTCCTTGAAATTGGCTTCTTAGTGCTAATTTTTGGCTTCCTTAATTGATGCGGGAATTGCCGTAGGGACCCCGAAGTGTTTCGCATGTTCAGCTGCAATGGACTGATTCGAGCTACAGTACCGCAGGGAGCCGTTTCGTATGGAGCTGTCTGCAATCCCTGCTACAGTACCATTGAAGATTACTGCTTGCTTCAGTCCAAGAGGGTTGGTCGACACTTCCTTCATGTGGACTTCCCTCATATTTGGATTGAGGTCTATAAATATATTATTTTCGTGTTTTTGGTCATTTTACTTCGTGTTTTATGTCAGGACAGCTGTTGAAGTCCAAGTTTTCCCTTTAAGGTCTATATTGGGCGCGCGGTGTTCCAACTGTATGCGTTACGAGGTGAAGACTCTCCTTCAAGGTTGAGTGGTGCTCTGGCCGTGGTGTTATCCTTCTCCAACTCATCCATATCCCTTCCGCTTCGCTACCACACCTTCCTACTCGCAATGGCTGCCCCAACAGCTAGCTCCTGACTGTCTTTCTGCAGTTCTTGCTTTCTTAACTGCTGCCTGCTCACGGCCAACCATCCAAAATCATTCCCCTAATACCCCTGCTGCTGTCCCAGCCCCCGCAACCTTCACTCCAACTTCTCCCAACCTTCTACCTCGCTATCACAACTTCATAAGCCCATCACTTTGCTGCCTACTGCTGTCCCAACCGCTTGTAACTAGGGGTTCAAATGAGCCGAGCCAGGCTCGATCTCGGCTCGTTAACAAGCATATCAAGCCACGAGCTTGTCACGGCTTGGCTTGTTGGCTCGTGAGCCAGCTCAATTAGCCTACCACTAGCCATTTCGACGTATTTTCCGGTGCTTCCTCTGGCCACCAACACCTTCTTTGGCGAGTTCCTATAAAAGTAGAGTTTTTAGTTCAAGCTTGTGAGCCGGCTCGTGAGCTGATTGCTATTAATATGAATCTCGCTCATGCTCACCATTCAAGTTCGCTCAAGCTCGAGGTCACTGTTTGCCAAACGAACCTAGCTCGAGCTCAACTCAACTTATTTGCACCCCTACCCACCACCTTCTGCAAGCCTTTTGCCTCGTTGCCACAATTTTGTAAGCCCCTCGCCCCCCGCAGCCTCGCTGCCAGTCCCGCACTTCCCCGACACTGCCATTGTCGTTCCAGCTAACCAAGACCATTCCCTGTGCTTCATTGTCGCTGTCCTAGCCGCCGGAACCACCTTCTCTCATGCTTGCTGATGTTTCCACCGCCTAGAACCGCCCCTAGTCGTTGTTCCTTCGCTGTCCAAACCCCTACCCGCCAAACACCACTACCCGAGATCTTCCTTAGTTAAGTCTTTGTGTTGTGTGTTACTATTTCAGATTTCCGAGCTTCGTGTTATTGTATTTTTACTTTCAAGTGCATTGATTGTAACTGTCTATTTGCTTTTAGTAATAATATTTATTTTTCCAATGGTGGTTTGGGTTAACTCCGGTATCAGTAATTTTCATGTGAAGCTTTATACGTTGAACTATAATGAATTATTCTATTTAACATGCTTTCATGAACTGTTGAATTCTTTCTCTATGCAGGCCCAGGATCACATCACGCAACTTCCTGTTGTTGATGGTTGGGTGCAGAAACATCGTCTCTTTATTGAGTGGAAACACAATGAAGCAAAGGTCTGCTTATTATTACTAAATAAATCGTATTTAACATCAGAATTATTATTATAAGACAACAAAATCCGACGTGAGTGCAATATTATCTGGTTTTTGGGTAGGTTATAATACTAGGAGTCAATTAATTCTAAAGATGGTTCTTTTTCTAGTAAAATAATATAATTTTTCCTCATAATTTTTTTCTTTAGGAGACCGAAAAGTATACATTCCCCAAGTCATATTTGCCTTCATCTTTTTTTTTTTAATTAAATATGTTGACATTAATAATTCTAAAATAAATTACAAAATAAATGAAATATATTAATAAGAAACCATAGCTAAACTCCACGTATGATTTTGAGCTCCTAAGCAAGTTTTAGAACCTTGTTGTAATCTTTCCTTATTTCATTAATTAATAAAGTCAACTTGCATATCTCACACCTGAACTTTCATATTTACACACATAGTACGCAAATCTTTAATATCACATCAAAAATAGTATTATTATCACCTTTTATAATTGAAATACACATTTTCTTGCAGAGGGTTAAAGCACCAAAGCGCTATCTATGTAAATATCAAAGTTTAGGTGTGAGATATGTAAATACATAAGAATTGTATGCTGCATAAGTAAATTTCCTTTTTTCTTAATAAAATTTGGCATTTACACTTCCTCTCTACCTAACCAGGCTGCAGCATATTATTATCATGGACTGATCCTTGATGAGGGGAACACAGAGAAATCCCATGGATTGGCTGTAGCTTCTTTGCAAGCGGCAGATGAGTTTCTAAAAGAAAGCAAAAAAGCCTGTGAAGCCTTCCACTCGACACCCCCGATATCAAGGTTTTCATCTTAACTTTCCTTTTTTTCCACTTAGACTAACAAATAAGCTTCACCAGTTTCCCAATAGATTTTTTTTTTACTTTTCCAATAGATATTTAGTAGTAATTACCTTTTTGGCTCTTCATTTTTCTTATGGTGGCATTCTCTTGTCACAAAGAAGCTAAATTGACAAGCTTCATTTTAATAACCTTCTGCAAAGAGTTGACAAGTTTTCTTCATGCATGAAATACCAAAATTATTGCATGGATAGCGTTTATATTTAGATGTAGATAATATTTTTGTAGATTTTGACAATGGATCTTGTATTTACAGAAAACCTTTGCTTTAAGTATTGATATGTCAGGATCTTAAACTGACAACTTTTGTCAATAATTTTATACCTCATTGAAAATTGGGAAAAGAAAACATTAAAAGAAGAGGAAAAAAGCCTTTTTTCATTGTTTCAAACAGTGAAAACTATATTTGGAAGCTGAAACCAAATCATGATCACTCAAAAATCAAATAAATATTGTATTGTCAATTATGCGACTGGGTTGCCTCACATTCTAATTATAACATCTTTTTACCAAGTTTGGTGATATACTGGTTCTTTACAGGAATCCACCTTTGTGGGGATCTATGAAGTACCTTTCGGAGAAGATTCCTAAAGATGTTTCCAGCAAAGTTCGCATCAATAGGGACCTTTACAATCAAGAGAAGTAAGACAATTTTTAAGCCCAGCTCCCATTATATTTGATTTTATTTATATGGAATTTAAATTAATCTTTACTTCGTACTAAAAAGGATACGATAGTCGGGCCCTAAAAAATGATAAGCAATAACAAACGATGGTTTTTGAAAATTTGGCCTATTTTCTTCAAAAAACTCTTGACAAATCCTCGTTGCTTTTATTAATATCTGAAGCTACGAAGCACAAAAATTTCTAAATGCCTTTCGTGTTAGTTTCCGGCACTGACGTGGTTCTGACACCCCTGACATGCCAATACTTTGAAAATTACGGCAAGAGTATTTCACATTAAAATTAGGTTCTGATACAGCATAAACATTGGCCAACATGGTCCAAAAATACCCCCCAACATAACTCGAACAGTCGGAGACGTGCAAGCATGAGAACAGCGTGGAAATTGTTAAAAAAGAGAGGATAATTACATGCATTGTGTTGACCGTAAGAATGAAAACTAAAAAAGAGGGAGAAATATAAAAAAGGGAAATAAGTTATATTAGTTAAAAGTAAATTAATTAACTTAAAGATTTATTTACTCCCGCCCCTTAGAGCCCGCTCGAATGGGATAACAGTTCCCCTCGTTCGCTTCAGTTACAAAAGCATGAACCAAACCTCTCGGCTCATTGATTCTAATCGCATCGTTCGTTATGTCCATTGGAAGTTGCACAAAAATTCTGCTCGAGCCTTTGCGATTTTTAATTTCCTTCGCGGTTCACCTCAACCGTCGAAACCCTATGCCAACATTGTCATCTCCATTTGCCGTAAGTCTCATTCTTATCTTACTCTTTCACTTCGTTTTATTTATTTTTTGCTCTGTTTTCCTTGTTGTTTTTCTTCTTGTGTGCATGCGACCAAACCCTACACTTGCTTCTTCTTCTCGCGAAATTGAGTCGCAAAATCCCAAGCCTTCCTCTTCTTCCCAATTGAACGAAACCTCTATTCCTTCTTCCTCACTGAAACTGCAGATAGTGTCTCTGCACACACAAAGCCCTTCACCTATGCGACCTTCCTCTTTTGCCTCCTTGTCACACAACCTTCTTTCATTGTGCCCTAGCTTGACATCGGAAGCCTTCACACGATCTTCTCTTTGCCCTAGCTCTTTGCATCGCTCGATCCCTTTGAGAAGCCACATGAACAAAGACTCTTACCTTCGTTTCACGTCCGAGCCCTCCTTTTCCTTCCTCTGTGCATGCGATCCAAACTTTATTGCCTTTTACTTTTCATTTTTTGTGTGAAATCGAAACATGAATGATCCCTGTTCAATCCTTAGCTTGAGCCAAAACCCGTGGACAACCCGAGTCTTGCCCATTTTTACGGTTCATTTATTTTAATTAGTATTGTTCTGTGTTGTAGTAAATATATATAAAATTAAAGGGACAACATAAATAAGATGTGTATTGTATTTTCATTCCATTGTCATTGTTGATCGTGATCATTGTCGCTTCACTCGAAAGGTATATTGGGACATTTGAGAAAACCTTCATTTGAGGAGAGCACAGTGTCCATTAGGCGGGGAAATCACAAACTCGTCTGAAGAATTATTTTTAAAATGAGGATGATTTATTTATAACCCAACTTTTTCTGTAAATGTATTGAAGGTTAGTTGCATCTTTTGAGATCACAAATTAAATGTTCAATTTTGCTCCTTTGTTGCGTCTTTTGAGATCGTGGGTTAAAAACTATGATTTTGCTTCCTGACTGTAGTGTCATAATGCACTAACCATTGATTCTTTTGAGATAGCTGAGCAGGTTGGCACTTCCTCATGCTCCTTAGCTGGGGTTGAAGCCGGAAGGCTGCCAAAATGAGTATATTAATTTGTAACTTAACACTTTCTGCAGGTATATTGAAGGTTTGCCACATCTTTTGAGATCACAAGTTAAATGCTCTTTTTGTTCCCTAGTCGCAGTGTCTCATGACACTAACCAGCCAGTCTTTTGAGATAACTAGAAATGTTGTCATTTTCTCATGCCCCTTAACGAGGGTTGACTTCGGGAGACTGTCGTATTTTTGAGTGGTTTAGACTTGTACCTAATTAAAATCTTGGATTTTTGAAATTTATAAAATAATAATAATAAAATGTGAACTATTTGACGCTAAGAAGTTGACTAGTTGCAGAGAGTCTAAAAGAACAATCTGCGACGCTAAAAATTCTGCTTTTATGATTTTTATAATAGATTAGATATTAAGGAGGGTGAAAAATATATGTATAAACTAGCAAAACAAAGAGAAAAGAAAAGTAAAGATTTAACTCAAGTAAAGTGTATTAAAGATGAAATCAAAATGTACTTTTCTTAGAAAAAGATATTTAACATAGATGGGTGAAATATTTTGATAAACTTTTTAATGAAGTTTCTTAAATTACAATCGACCTTAGTGATTTTAATATCGTGAATAATAATAAAATGTTTCATTTTTACCATCGCATTAGTAAAAAAGAAGTTGATGAGGCTTTAAAGAAAACCAAAGGTGGAAAGTCTGTAGGATCGGATGATATCCCAATTGAAGTGTGGAAATATTTAGGAGTTTCTTGGCTTAATAAACTCTTTAATATTACTTTAAAAACTAAAAAAGATGTCTGAGGAGTGGAGGAAAAGTATTTTGGTCCCTATTTTTAAGAATAAAGGGACAAGAGTGCAAATTATAGAGGAATTAAGTTGATGTGTCATACTTTAAAGTTATGAGAGAGGGTAATTGAACATAAGTTAAGACACATTATAAAGATTTCTCATAATCAATTTGGATTTATGTCGGGCAAGTCTACTATGGAAGCTGTACATTTATTGAGAGGTTTGATGGAAAATTTCAGAGATAATAAGGAGAATCTATATTTGATTTTTATTGATTTAGAAAAAACTTACGATAAGGTTCCAAGAGATATCCTTTGGAGAGTTCTTGAGAAGAAAGGTGTTGATATGACTTGTATTCAAGTCATTAAAGATATGTATACTAGAGCTCTTACTTGTTCAAACTGAAGGAGGATAGACCAAATATTTTCCTATTTTTGTTGGATTACATCAAGGATCGGCTTTAATCCCATATCTTTTTGCTTTACTTATGGATGGTCTTACAGGACATCTATAGGAGGATGTACCATGGTGTATTCTTTTTGCTGATGATATCCTTCTCTTGGATAAAACGAGAGAAAAAGCTTAGGAAAAACTTGATTTATGGAGGTTTACATTGGAGTCTAAAGGCCTTCATTTAAGTAGAACTAAAACTGAATACATGGAATGTAATTTTAGTAGCAGTAGCTCTAGTGACAGAACTGTGACTTTGGGTGATCAAATTATTAAAATGTATGAACGATTTAAATATCTTGGGTCCGTTGTTCAAAACGATGGTGATATAGATGGGGATGTTAATAGTAGAATTCGAGTTGGTTGGTTGAAGTGGAGGAATGCTTCAGACCTTTTGTGTGATATAAAAATACCGCTTAGACTAAAAGGAAAATTTTATAAGACGGTGGTGAGACCTGCAATGCTCTATGGAGCTGAATGTTGGCCTTTAAAAGAGAAGCATAATAATAATTAAGTGTTGCCGAGATGAAAATGATTAGGTGGATGAGTGGTTTTGCACCTAAAGACAAAGTTTGAAATTAATATAGCTGTGATAGGGTTGGTGTAGCTCCTGGGACAGAAAAATTAGAGAAAGTCATCTTTAGATGGTTTTGTTACATTTAACATCGACCATCTGATGCTCCGATTAGGAGAGTAGATGTTGTAGATTCGACTCGTGTTAAGAAAGGCAGAGGTAGACATAGGAAGACTTGGACTTATTGTTTAAAAAATGATCTTAATTTACTAGAACTAAATGAAAATGTGACACTAAATAGGACGCAATGGAGAAAAAAGATTCATGTAGCCGATCCCACGTAGTGGGATTAAGGCTTTGTTGTTGTTGTTGTATTTGAAATTTGAGCATTTAAAATTTAGACTCTTAAGAGTTTAAAATGTCGGAGATACGAGCTTTTAAAAATTTTTGCTCTTAAGATTTTTAAAATATAAACTTTCAGGGCTTAAAAATATTAAAATTTGAATTTCAAAATTTAAAGCTCATATATTTTAAAAGAGCTCTTTAAACTCAGACTCCTAGATTTTGAAAATTAATTTAAAATTGTCTCTTCGAACATAAGTTCTTTGGGGTGACAAAAAATTCAAATGTACAGTTTTGTTAAAATTTAAAATTAATCGCCACCAAATTTACAATACTCCTGCTAGCGAACAGAAGAATACTATTTAAAGCTAAAAACCATAATATTTATTTAAATATGTCAAGTTCTAAATGATAAGAAATGTTCAAACCTAGATTTCAAAGTTAGTTCTTAAAGTCAAATGCAAGGTTTTGAAATTTGTGCAAGTGCTTTAAGACATATGAATAACAATTTGAATACTTTCAAGTTATAAATAGTAAAGATATTCATGAATTAACTATGCAACATCTCAAAGTTTTGTATAACAAAATTTCGAATAAATATATATATATATATATATATATCAAATGCTCGCATGTGCTCCAACCAAAGTAAAGAACGTTCAAATATTAGATTCGAGAATGTTGCGCAAGCTAATCAGACCACATTCTCTATAGGATAAGGTTGTAAATCCTACCTAATTAATTCGATTTTCTTCCTCGTAAGGACTGGAGTTGACAAGTCTATTAAACCTTAATAAATGTCCAAAACCTTAATTTATATCTAAATTCTAAAATAAAAATTTACAAGTTCAAATCACTTATTCCGATTCTTCTTTGTATAAAGATTGAAGGCGATGGGATTTATACCCTAAAAGTCTATTAAATGGCTTACTTTAAATAATGTTTTGAATGTCTAATTCCTCAATAATGAATGTGTTGATCTAAGATTTCAATCAGATTGGTGAAACTTTTAAATCAGGATTTTCAAAATAATCAACTGAAATTTAAATTAAATTTCAATCACGTAAATGCTAAAAGCAAATTTCATCTACTCTCCGCAA